CATCATTCAACCACATGCAGGAATTTAAATACTAGACCTTTGGAGTTATTTACAGATACATACTCTAAGAGCAACACACATCTATGCTCATATCTTCACCAAAACAACAAAAAGACAATCTAGTACATACATCAAATGTCAGACACCGGACATGTCTGTGAAGTGGGTACTTTACCCGAACTACCTTAACCCTATCCGTACGTCGTGTTTCACTATCGTATCCAAACGACGTGGTGACCTCTGATCTGAGCTACCACTTTCCAAAGAAGAAATTTACTCGTTCATCCGATCCGTACGCTTTGCACAGCAGTCTATCATAACGATTTTTTTAAAGAAATAAATACTGAAAGTTTCAAAGAGATCTTTGCACGAGAAGTATTGTAAAATGTGAAGAATACAACCCCGGGGGGGTTACAAAATGACCCCAGGGCGTACGGATAGGGTTAATAAACAGAATGTGTGTCCAACTCGAGTCACGTGACCACATCAATACCCACATCCTTCCAAGGCGTAGTGTTCTTTATCTCTAATCACACACAGCGCAGAAAGAACAACAGGCTTATTAATCATTATTGTCGTTCAGAAAGAATAGAATGCTTGCGCCCCCTCATCAAGGTGTGGGGGGTTAAAGTTTGAAAGCGAGAGTTATAGTTTTAGTTTTAGTAAGTGTTTTACGGCACTTACAACACAATAAGGTCATATAAGAGCCGAAGATTAAAGGTGTTACAAGAGAGAAACAAACACAAAAAAGAAGGAGGGGAGATAAGGACGAAAGATGTTTGATAGGAAAGAAGAAGCCAACCACACCAGAGTGCACCCGACAACCACCCAGGTACAAGTTTTACGGCGCTTGCCAAACAGTTACGTCACAGAAAAGTCGAAGGTTAGGGATGGTGCTCGAGAGCAACATACAAAGAAAAGGAGAGACAAGGATGTGATAGATGTTTAATAGAGAAGAAGAAGAAGAAGAAGAAGCAAACCACTACCAGAGGACACGCCAAACACCCAGGGTCAAGCCGCTACCTTAGAATGAACAAAGGTGTATCTGACATTTTTGGTCGTTTTGAAAGTTACTAAGACCGTGAGGTCAGAAACCAAAATGTTCCATGTGCTCTATCAAAATTGCCAAATGATTCGGAGTCATTATCGAGATATTCAAAGAATTGCACTCGAAAAAGCTTGTTTTTGTTTTTTGTAAAGTGTTTTACGGCGCTCGCAACTGCATAGGTCAAATGAGCGCGCGGGACACACCTAATATTTTCAGTTGGTAGGAAATTGTGAATTTTGCCCGGGTGGCGGCCGAAGCCTACTCTTATCGATTTTAGACCACCAA